CCAAATTGTATGGAAAGACCAAGAGATTTATTGCTGAATGAATCCCATCAATGAATTAATTGAGCTGTGATTTCCATGTTCAGACCCCAGTTGTAGAAATCCATCTGAACTGAGATGATTGGCAGTGTAACAGTCTGATCCAGCAAGCTGAATGGCAACAATATCATAGAATGGTCCATCGCTGCAAATCTGTAAAGGAATGTAAAGGAGAATCTCTAACTTCATATTGCCTTGGTCACTAAATTAGCAGAACATAGTCATGCCACCTTTTATCACATTTCTTCTGTGAGAACAGGGATGGGACAGTTTGGACAAACCTATTGGTAGGATCATCCAGAATTTTTTTTCTATATCTCCATCAAATCACAAAGTCAGCCCTTCAGGGCGGGGCCTGGCCAGGAAACAGACACTCAGGTTACTCAGATTATTACTCATTATTATAGATTATTACTGTTTAGAGACTATTCAGTCCTGAGAAAGAGGAAAGTGTGAGAAACTCAAAATAATCCCACTTTGATTTTGTAGGTATAAGATGGTGCAGAGAAACTCTGACAAGCTTTCAAGAGTGACGTCAGCCCTTCAGGGTAGGCCAGTCATGAAACAGGCATGGCAGCAATTCAAGGAATGTTCTTTATTGTTGGAGGATAGAATTAGAGAATCTTGAAAGCCTGTCAGAGTTTCTGTCTGTCCCACCTTATATGAAATAGAATCAAGGTAGGGCTACTTTGAGTTTCTTTCTCACGCTTTCCAGGAGTCAGCTGCTTTTTCTCCTCCTTTAATGGTTCATCCATTCCTTTACCAAGGTCATCTCTACATTCCTGTGTGCATAGTTATGTCCCAGTGATTAGTGGCTATAAGTAACTGACACAACAGTTTACTGCCATTCCTGATTACAGAAGCTTGCCTTAACAGTTTTACATGCCAATTCAAATTAGAACAGGGATTTTTTTAAAAAGTCACATACAGCTACGAAGGCAAAGAGAACTACGATAATCATGACAAGACTGGTTTCTTGGCCATCAGAATAGCCCAATATTTAATGTTTGGTTATGGACATTTTAGAACAAAGGAAACTAGTCTTAAGAAGAAGAAAAACCCAATTTTTAAAACTCCTGTGTATTTCTTATTGCCTCATTCATATTAAAATGTTGTGTATGCCTGGTTTCTGTTATTAATTAGGAAGTGGGTAGAATGCCTGCCCCATTGATATGGAGCCTGAAGAAATAAAGGGAAAGAGGGGAAAATTAATTTCCCCTTAGTGGTGCATGCATTTTATTAAAATTAGATTCCCTATGTTAATCACATTTTGGATGTGAATAGGGCACATCTGTGAAAAAAAATATGTATGCCATACCACATGACCTGTTGCAAATGCTCATTTTGTGTAAATACCCTGATTCAAATGCTGATTAAGATAACAATTTGTGTGTTTTGTGGGGGGAAAAAGGAGCTGCAATTCATGTGTTAGGTAAGTGAATGTCAGAAAAAATATAAATTACGTAGGATGCCTTTGTCCTATTCAGAAATGTGGAAACTTGTGAGAGACATTCTGTCTTATTTTAACCCCAGCTATGAGAGGAGGATGGGAAGTGGAGCAAGTGTTTGACAGTTGACAATGTCCATCACGCTGTTTAGTGATGATGCCTGGGGGGTAAAAATAGAGAGAGTGACCTCATGGCTTTGAGCAGCAATGCAGAAGAGACAAAAGAGAGGCTTTAAAAGGCCAGCCGAGTTGCAGTCAAAGGACTTGGACTCTTTTAAGGTTTTGATTCTGCTCCAGAAGGGAGCTGCTCTACTCCTTCCGTTCTCTTTATGGAGAACTGGGAGTTAAAAACAGTACGTGACATGCCCTGCTCTCCAGGACTGGATGCTGCTGTCAAGCCCTTGGACCAACCATATGCAGGTACCAACTGCCTTTGTGCCTTGAACCTAGCAAGGCTTTTCCCAGGAAGGGGTTCCCTTTCCATCAGCCTGTATTCTTTCCATAAGGGGGTATGCTTGGGGAAGGAAACTGACTTGGGAAAGAAAACTTTTTTTTTAGATTTTAAATAGTAGAAAGTGGGATGAAGAGAGCCAACAGTGGGTTGGAAGCTGCTTTGAACCAACGTATTGTGCAGCCCCTAGTTTCTTCTAAGAGGTCAAGAATTTATCATGACAATAAATATTAAAACTATTTCCACCAGTTTATGTTTATACTGTTTTCAGACGGCTGCTCTGGGAAAATAATACTGAACTTTCTGAATTCTGATCTTATGTAATAGAAAAGGTTAGTTTTCCTGGAAATTTTATACCATTCTCCTCTCCATCCTACCTCCTGCTTTCCATGATGATAATGGCTGTTATTATTATTAGCACTTGATTATAAATAAAAGATAAAGCAAGGCAGCCTTTCAGTCTTCATTTCTTTGACTTCTTAAGAGGAAGCACAGTAGTGACTAATGCAAAGGCTTACCAGTGATTTACAGCATCTGCTAGAGTCCTCCAACCTCTGCTGTGCCACTACAACAGTGCCAGGGAGAGGTTTTGCATCATCTCAGCAATGGCTGGGTGACATTAGAAGATGCTATAAACGGGGAAATGGCCAGAGTTAATTTATTGTGGGTTGCAACCTGAGTCAGATGAAATTACGTTGAGAGCTCTTTTGTGTCAGAACCTTTCTGACCAAAACATTCTAGGTTGTAAGATGTACCTCTTGTTTATTGTCAATACATAGTAAGCTCTATCCTGAGCTTGCAGTCAAAGTCAGGGCAATTTAAACAATAAGTGTTACAATGCAGAAAGCACAGCTCACTTGAAACTTCCATAGTATTGCACTTATATATTGGTGAGGGTGAATCTAATTTTTATTTGATAAGAGTATCTTAATTACTCCTATCAAATAAAAATTGGATCCTTATTTAGGCATGTGGAGTTTGATTGGTACTTTTACCACCTCTGTTCCTATGGATTATTGTGTCAATCTCCTTGACCCTCAGTCTGCTTAAGAGTGGAACTGATAACATTCCAGTATCAACATTTATCTAAAGCAGTGGAGAAGCCAAGAATGTGGGGCAGACCCTTCAAATCTTAGTAAACCCCTAAAGATTTCTGAGCTGAGGGCCTGCAATTTTGATGGCTTGAATTGGAATACATTTAATTTAATTTAATTTAATTTAATTTAATTTAATTTAATTTAAGGGCCAAGTAGAGAACCTGTAAAAGCTCTTCTGTTTTCAACCCAAACCTACTTACTTACTCTACATAAATTACCCTTTTTCTTGAGAAAAAGTAAAAATACAGGAGCTGCCTTTTCCCCCAAGGGCATTTTCATAAGTGACACTAAAAAGCTTGTTTCTGCCTTTTTATGACATTTAAGAAAACTGCCCATGTAGGAGATAAGTTTCACATTAAAAAAAAACCAACAACTTGAAACCAAATTAATTCTAATGTATGAAAAAAAATTCATTTAAGATCTTGATGCATTGACTGAAGCCAAGAAAAACCCATTGAGATATTATTTCTTGCTATTATTTTAAATTAATTCTAATAGTTTGCAGATTCTACAGAGTTGATTGACTTGATAGAAACTGGCAAAGGTTCTTCTCTTCTTTAAAGGGATGACCCCAAGTGGCTCTTACCTCCACTTTTTCTGCCCTTAGATTTATTACTGATTTATTAAATTTGCATAACCACTCGTCTCACAAGTGTGACTCTGGGCAGCTCACAACAATTAAAACAACAGCAGAAACAGTAAAAGTATAAATAAACACACTGGTATTCAACTATCCTAAAATCATGATTAAAAATTCAATAAAACATAAAACATAGTCACAGTGAGCCAGTGAATATAAGCCGTGCACCCATTTGATATAGCCATTGCCAAGGCTCTCCACTCCTGCCAGACCCCCAGGCACGATGGCACAGCCAAGTCTTCAGGCCCTTCTTAAAGGCTAGAAGGGTAGGCACCAGTCTAAGTTCCAGGGGAACAGGGGGGCACCATGGCAGAAAAGGCTCTCCTCCTGGGTCCTGCAGATAGCATTCCTTTGTGGATGGGACTTGCAGCATGCCCTTCCTGCCAGATCTGAAGGGGCGGGTAGATGTGATTGGGAAGATGCAGTCCCTCAAATAACCCGGCCCCATGTCATGTAGGGTGTTATAGGTCATTACCAGCACCTTGAATGGCACCTGGAAGCACACTGGTAGCCAATGCAGTTCACACAGCAGATATGTGACATGTGTTGCTTGAGGAACACACATAACTGTCTGAGTGGCCGCATTTTGCACCAGCTGCAACTTCTGAATGCTCTTCAAGGGCAGCCCCATGTAGATCACATAAGTCTCTGATGTTGTCTGCTGATTCTCTCCAGGTGTGCTGCGGACAGTGAGTGACAGAACAATGGAGGAATAAGGGGGCAGAGACCTGGAATTGTGGGCAAGACTGCATTTTAAGTTTTGAATGTTCTATCCTTATACTGAAAATACAACAATGCAACAACAGTTAGCAAAGAGAAAGCATAACAGTGCAGCCAGGAGCTAACTGGCTCCTGGCGTATACATTTAATAAATAAATAAATAAATAACTGAGCTAAATCTTTCTTTTTAATGAACAGTATTAGGGCTCTATTCCCTCTTGTAGGTTTCTTCCCCTGCTGGTGTAAACTGGTCTCTCTCACTTGATGGAGCTTGATATTATAAACTCTAATAATTTCTGCGCATATAAAATAGGTATCAGGAATTTACTACCTTGAGTTTTGTTGGTGCCAGGTCCAAGCTACAGTGTGTCGCTCAATCAAGAAGGCTCTCAGCAATTTATTGCAAATGATTTTTTTTCTGCCAAATTACTGTGACATTCTTACATTCCTTTGTGATGCAGCCTTGACGATTGCTCATATGTGAGCCAGGAACATTCTTTGCATCAGTAAGGGCCGTTGTGTCTTACAGAGGCTACAAAATGGTGCTTCCAAGTAGATTTCTTTACAGAGCCCTGACTGTGCTTTTTTTGTTTTGTTTTGTCCTTGCAGAGCTTAATCGTGGTGAGACCATGCAAGAAAAAAATGTGAAGGAAGCCAAAACCAAATGCAGAACCATTGCATCCCTGTTGACAGATGCCCCCAACCCCCATTCTAAGGGAGTTCTGATGTTTAAAAAGCGCAGGCAGAGAGCTAAGAAATATACCCTAGTCAGTTTTGGAAGTGTAGAAGAAGACCGCTGTTATGATGAAGAGGATGGTGTCTTCCCAACCAGTGAGTCAGAGTTTGATGAAGAAGGCTTCTCTGATGCTCGAAGCTTAACTAACCACTCAGATGGAGGCAATGCCTACCTTGACATTGAGAAGCCCAAGGGTCATCCTGCACATGAGCAGGCCCACCTACAGCAAGGTCTCACTGAAGTCTCAGGTAGAGGAGCACAATTATTTGAGCAGCAGAGGCAGAAGACTGGGAAGCAGATGTTGGAAAATATGTCTGCACAGAAATCAGAGGCAGAGCCCCCAAGTTCAACAATTCAGCCTACACATAGCATAACTGGTATTGAAGCACCAATGCCATGGAAGGCAGAAAAGACTCCCCTAAGCGTCCATTTAGAATCTGCACAAGTTTCTAGTCAACTGCCACCACCTAATCCTGCTCAGCTCCAGTCTCCTTCTGTTATCTTTGGAGGGGGAGCCCAGATCTCTTCAAATACCTCAGGCATCTTCAACAGGTCTGCTCGGCCTTTCACTCCTGGTTTTTCTGGGCAACGTCCTATGACATCATCTGTTGTGTTTAGACCCTTAGTGCTAAGAAAAGGTAGTGAGAGGGTCGGCGAACAGAGAATGGCTGCCCCTCCTGTTTCCCTTGTTTCTCCAGGTATGGTGCTTCCTCCCCCACCATCATCAGTGCAACCTAATGACACAACAAGCACATCTGTGTCTCTGTATATTCCACCTACACCATCATCAGTCCAGACAACAGCAGATGGAAAATCAGCAGCGAAATCACTTTCCAAAGCAGGTAGAACCTCCACTGCTTCCATATTCCTCTCAACCTCTTCTAGACCAGCTGCAGATGCAGTCACTGCTACATCTCCCCTATTATCATCTTCACAAACCCAGGATACTACATCTTCTACTTTATATGTTAGTCCAGTTCCACAGCCACTCAATCAGCCACCCATCCAGCCATTCACCAGTAATATCTCTGCTATTCCACGGCCTGCTTCTGAGCCTTTGGCCTCCAGGGAGCAGAGGGTTGCAGTTCCAGCTCCCAGAACAGGTATCTTGCAGGAGGCCCGCCGCCGAAGCAGTAAGAAGCCCATGTTCAAATCTGTAGAGGAGAAGAAAAAGAATTCTCCAAATCCAGAGTTATTATCTCTTGTGCAGAATCTGGATGAAAAACCCAAAGGGGACCATCAAGGGGCAGGATTTGAGTCAGGACCTGAAGAAGATGTTCTTAGTCTGGGAGCAGAAGCCTGCAACTTTATGCAGTTCCCAGGCCGGAAGTTCAAGACCCCGCCTCCAGTAGCTCCTAAGCCTCAACAGTCAAATGCCCCTAATGGAATGGTGAATGGATCTTCTCGTGCACATGACCTATCTCATTTGAAGGGGAAAGGGGCAGAGCTTTTTGCTAAGCGACAGAGCCGAATGGATAAGTTTGTGGTGGAGGCTGCACCAACATCAAAGCCAAGAACTCCATCTCCTGCACCTTCTCTTCCCTCTTCCTGGAAGTATTCACCAAATATTCGTGCCCCACCTCCCATAGCTTACAACCCATTGCACTCCCCATTTTACCCATTGGCAGCCAGCAAATCTCAGGCCACCAAGACAGAGAGCAAAGTGAAAAAAGCACCAACTCACAAAAAATCAGGGATCAAGGTCATTGACTTCCTCAGACATCAACCATACCAACTAAATTCTGCCATGTTCTGTTTTGGGGAGACTCCAAACGCTGGAGTCCAGGCCCCTACAAGTCCAACAGTTCAACAGTCCAGCTTGTCTTTCACACCGGCCAAACAAGCCCCTGTGAAAACAACCAGGACCTATGAAATTCGTCGTTTTTCCACCCCTGTCCCAATGCCAACTTCAGGTGGTGTGGCTCCTACTGTGTTAGCTCCTCGTTCTGCTACAACATTGGATGAACCAGTCTGGAGATCAGAAGTGACCTCTACTTCTGCACCTGCCTCCCCTGGGCCATATCAGGGAGTTCCCCTCCAATATCAAAGTTCTCCTGAACTCAGTGAGCCATATAGAGGGGCTTCCTCAAGCCGACCCACATCATCCCTCAGTTTCCAGGTAGCTAGACCCAGATTTTCAGCAGCCCAAACTGGAATGCAGGCACATATTTGGAGACCAGGTTCTGGTCACCAATGAAAGAAAAATTGATTTTTTACAGTCATTCTAACATCTTCAATTTTCTAAGTGAGATTAGTTTCAGCTCACTGCTAAATGTCCACTAGATTGCAAACTTAGGTTTGTTTCTGTGCAGTGTGCAAAATGGCCATAGGCACAAGCCAGGTGTTTAAGCTAAATATTTGTCTTCATGGTTCCCCTCCTTCTGTTTAAATTGAATTCCTATAAATCAGATCAGTGAAGCCAAACTGGAGACAGTCTTTCTTCCTAAATCCCTGATCCCTCAGTTTTTTGGATCTGCAATTCTTCAAGAGGATTCAACAGTTTGTTTGGAGCAGGAAAAGAAGTAGTGAAGCTAGACAGCTTTTTCATTTGCATGGCAGAGTAAGGCCAATAATTCAGATTCATCCGAAGCAATATGAATCAGTCCAACCGTTATAAATACATTTTCTCTTTGGAGAACTGACAGCCTGCCTCCCTCTAAAGCCGAAGTTAGGGAAAGAAATAAAATTGCCAATAGTGGGGGGTTTTTTGCATTTGCAGGGAAGCATTGGTAGACATTCATTCCCTCATTGTCCCCTTATTTTGCCCTCACATAAGTATTCTGAAACAAACGGGACTTCTGCCTGCCTTGCAATTTGTATATATATATGTGGGTACCTTCGAGTCATGTTGACTCCTGGCGGCTGCCTGGACAAGTCCCTGCAGTTTCCTTGGCAAGGTTTCTTGGAAGGGGTTGCCCTTGCCTGCTTCCTAGGGCTGGCCCAAGGGCACCCAGCTGGCCTTGGGCCTAAGGCGGCACTAGAACTCAAGCCAGTGCCTGCTTCATCATTCTGTCACCCACATTTGTGGCTAAGATGTGGGGCTGAGACCCAGATTCAAGGGTTCCACTTAGCTCTGGACCTCCCTGGGCCAGTCATCATTTCTCAGCTTCCTCAAAGAGCAATGAAATAAGGGCAAGGCTCCGCCTGCTTCATCATGAACTTGTAGAGGAAGGGAAGGCTAAAAATGCATGCATGCATGCATAAATAAAACCAAAAATCTGAACGCCACTGGCTCACACAAATGTACCTGCAACCTCAACCTGTAATTACATGGGAGAGGAACCACAAATTCTTTTTTTTTAACTAGACTAAATACTTTGTATGACTTTTAGGGCCAGGAAGGAAGACCGTGGAAAAGATGGAAATGGAAGTGGCATAGAAATGCCATCTAGCTTAAACAGCTGTCATTTAAATGCAGCCAGAAGACCTTAGTCCCCATATGTTCCTATGACTTGTTTGTCCCAATTGCAAGAAAGATATAAATGTAGAGAGAGTTAACCAACTGCCTCTTTTTTCGGCAGTTATTTTCCATAAATCAGAAACAGCATCTTCCAAGAAAGAGAGTAGAGGCTGAAAGAATCTCCAGAGGAGCAAAACATGAAGTGTTGACTACTGAATTTGCTAATATAAAGGATAGCGTTCACCTCTTATTAGGAGAGAGCAAGTAGAAGGAGGGAGGAAAGGGAAGTAGGAGCAAGTGTGTGAAAATTCATGAGGCAGGATTTGTGTTTGTACCTAAGATGATTGATTTAATCACTAAGCCAATAGTGGAAATCATCAGCAAAAGTCCTTTTATAGGCTCTTGTAATTTAATTAAAGATAGCAAGTGAGGAGAAGTTATTTTATAGCCACTTGAAACCTCTAAAAGTGCTGGGGGTCCTAGAAGCAAGAGGATATTAATCCCAGTGTTATGTTGCTTCCACTCAGAGTGACCTGAAGTTTTGGGGTGGGGGTTGTGCTAGGAGTGCAGCGTGCAGGGGAAAGTATTAAAAATACCATCTTACCCTGGCCTACCCTACCAACACTTTGACAGCTGATGTTTAACTTTGCCACACTCAGATGTAGGTCCTTGATAATTCAGTGTTCAAATATCCAACATTCAGTCCAATTTTAAATTAGCCAATTTACAGAAAATTTGCATGTACTAAAGTCAAAGGATTGGAGTGTGCAAATAGTATATTTTGTCTAGGAGGTCAGGATCTTTCCTAAGCCGCATGGTTTGACATAAGCCTAAACTGCAGTTCTTGAATTGGCTGAATGAATACTCTGGACAGAATTATTTATATTATTTTGGCAGTTCATGCTGCATATGTATGGGAAACGAATTACAGTGTAACCTAGTTTATCTGTACCTTCATTCAATGGATTTCAAATTTTAGATATAATAGGTAAAATTTTGATTCAAACTCTACCCCCCTTACCCAAAACCTGATTTGCCTAAAGTAGTCTTGCAAAGGACAATTGTTGCAATGTATGCCATTAGTGTAATCACATAAGCAACATTTTTATGTATTTTGCATCAATGTATATGTTTGCATAATAACACAAATCATGATGTAAAAATTTCAGTTACTTAATTCTGCAAACAATGTACATTGGTGCAAATGACATGAATTTGGATTTAAGGGACATTTAGATTTAATGGACTACATCTGTGGCAGCCTGTTGAATCAAGGTTTTGCTTTATAGCTTTGTTTATGCAACATACTAAACTGGAAAACTTACTATTTGAGCAAGCTGTCATGTAACCTCTTCGGTCACAGCCTTTTAGCCTTACCATGCTGTCCGTTTGGGTTTCCTACTGGTACTTATAACAAACATGGCTACCAGTCCTAATTTCTGAGAATCCAGAACAGCATCCATTTCAGGTTCCAATGACACAGAGAGCTGGAATAAAGAGCCATAGGCAATGGGAGATAATTAGGAAGCGTTTTAGCTTAACCTATCATGCAAGGACACAGGACCTGAAGAAGGCTGAAGAAGTGGCAGTTTAGGAAAACCTAATGCAACTGCAAAATCTCTTCAGGATGCTTTAAGCAAGAATCCTTGATGATGAGGCTCCAAAAAACCTTCCAGCTTTATTACGCTCCTTTAATACCATATTATCTTTTCAACAGCAGAGGAAGGTTCTGGAAGGATTTTAAATAGGGTGGATGGTGGGATGAATTCCAAAAGAAATAGCAAATAGATTAACCAAGAAAACTGTACCTTTCAAGACTGAGACAAATAGAGATTAAGTGGAAGAGGCTTTCAGATCCAATTTTTATAACCAAGTCAAAATAAACAAGTCAAAATTTTGTCATCCAAGGTCGAAAAGTGTTGCTAGGATTCAGCCCATTGCAACTTTTCAGATCTCATGGAATGAAGTGTGACTGTTCAGACTGTACATGCCTCTCAGAACAGCTTGTCTGTGGTGGTCTCTGGAACCTTTCAGAACTGCTCAGAAATAACAGATTTCCAGCTGCCGCTCCAAAGGGCCACTTGCAGACGGTCTGTGCATGACTGAAGCACATGGGCTGTGCAGGCAGTTGCACTGAGAACTCTTGTAAAAAAAACTTCTTACAGGCAGGAAATGCATGTCGTATTAGGAAAGTGAAGGAGCCCACTATGGAAATATAGGAGGTGAGCTAGCCCATGCCTCCCTGCCTATTGAATTTTTTGTAACTGGACAATAGATGTGACGTTGTGGTGGGAAAGACCACCACCAAGATGCACCAGCGTAAAAGCAGGCTGCAGCTAAGCCTCTGGGAAAGGGACAGTCCTAGCTCTTCCAATCTCTGATGGAGAAAGACTCAAAAGTGAAATCTTGATCTGGAATGCAGAAAGACACTTTGGATGAACCTTCATCTTTCTGATCATCACATTGGCCCCCTCTGCAACAAACCCAAGAGAAACCTGTGCCAGAGCACTGTTTGTGACCCACAATGATGCTTCTCCTGCTTTTTCTGAAGATTGACCATTTCATGCTGAAGAAAGGAACCTGCCAGCTGTAAGCCTCTCCCCCAGCCATGCAAGGCTGTACTTCTGAAGCAATAATAGAACTCACACTGTTATTCTAGAAGTATGTTTTTTTTTCTTTCATTTGAAGCTGAATGTCACTTTCCAGATGCTTGTGCTGAGGAATAAATTTCTGACATGCACTTTAATTCTTGTCTACATTTGCCTTTTTCACTGTCAGGTTCCTATTGTGCTAGAAATAAAATGACTCCGATTGAACAGAGCCTTCAAGGATAAGTTCATCTCACTTGCTAAACTGCCAGTCTAACTTGTGCCTTTCTTGCATCTCTTTTCCATTTTGTCCTCCTAGTTCAGAACTAACCACCAAGTTTGCATCTAACTTTATAATTGCACAGAGCACTGGGTTCTTTGTTATAAGATCTATAATTTGGAGTACCACTCCAGTATTGGTATTGGAAGAAGGCTTGAGGAGCTATCTTATTTTACAAAATCATACATGGAAAATGACAGTGATCTTTTGATGCTGCCTTCTTCCAATTTGTGGCTCTTCAAGCCCACTATGAATCAAAGGAAGATCCTTAAGCTCTCAATGGTAATCCAAGTCCTAGATGAAGTGTGTCGATGTTGGGGAAGGGGAGGTAGGAACAAGGCTCATCTCATGAGTCTATGTCCTCCTGAACCTCAACCTGTCAGGTGACTTGCAATTTAAGCACTGCTGCTCTAAGGGACTGACATCTAAAACATATTCAATTGTGCCAAGAAAAAAATGGAAATAATTATAGACTGTTATTTGAGCCACGCAGCCTCAGTGACAGTACACTATCAGATGTGAACCACTGTGTGTTATGGGAGCTGAGCCTTCCAGATAAAAATCAAGAATAGCCCAAGATTTACAGTAGTTAGCTCTGAGGTTCAAAAGGTATAAATCTAATGCACATCTTGTATTAAATATGATATCAATTATTGTCTAAAATGGAGCTTGATTGTTATGGAAGTCATATAGCCCCAAAGCAGCTTGAAAGCTGGAACCTTGCAGAACAGTGTGCTGGATTAAACAATGAAACAGAGGAATGGTCAGGGGGGCACCACTTTCACCTTTCTCTTATATAATCAGTTAATGTGTTCTAGAATTGCATAGCCTGCTTCCTTCTTTGGTCTCTGTATATCCACCTCTTTCCTTAAACTTTCTCCCCATATGGAAAACAGGGAACCAGTACACTGTTAATATGACCCCAAGTTTCAGTTTTCCTCAACTTCCAACACGAAGAAGGCTGAAGCTCAAAGACCATGGGAAAACACAGGAGCTGCTATCAAACACATAAGCTGTAGAACATACTTATGATTTACATCTGGAATTAAGGTTGATGTCTTAATTTAAGATTACCTAACTCTGTGATGCATGAATGAATTCAATGATTGCTTTTTATTCTTTCCAACACAATGGAACACTGGAAAGAAATTATGTGTAGGAGCTCAGAACTCTGTTATCAGCAGGATAACTCTGTGAAAACTGAAGAGAACAAGACCAAACCTAGTGTGGGGAGAAGCTGAGAAAAGAAACGTTAAGTTAAAAAATGGGCCAGGTCCAGCTGGGGCTGGAGGGGAATTCCCCCCAAATTTCCCCAATGCTTCCCCATGAGGGAGGCAGTTGGCCAAGAGCTTGGAATGTTGCTGACTGTTCCATTCTAAGCCTCTTCTATCTCTCTCCTGGTCACATGATACAGAACATATACTTCCTGTGCTTCCTAGGGGTGATCTGGACTTCCTGCTTGCTTCAGCATGAAGGTGGGCCATGTGCTGCTTTGAGAGGGCAGGAACTTCCCTAGCCTGATGGGAGGCAACCTCTACCTGAGTTCTCTTGTGCTACATCAAACACAGCATTTCCTCCACTGCTGACACAAGCAGGGCAGTCCAAGTCTACCTGCCACAGTTCATTCCATCTTACACATTTGCTTCTAAGTGATGCGGTCATAAAGCCTGATGTCATGTGATTGCACTGCTGAGCAACAGAAATTCCAGTCCCAATTGCCATAATTAAGTGAATTACTGTGGGTCGTTAAGAGAGGACATCACATGGTTGCCATTCGCAACCTCCTGCCAGCTTCCCCATTGACTTTGCTTGTAGAAAGCCAGCAAAGAAGGCTGCAAATGGCGATCATGTGACCGCAGGATGCTGTGATGTCGTAACTGCGAGCTGGGCACCAAGTCCCCAGATCACAATCATATGACTGTGGGGATGCTGCGATGGCTGGAACTTTGAGGACCGGTCATAACTACCACTCATTCAGTGCTGTTGTAACTTTGAATGGTCACTGAATGAATGGTTGCTAAGTGAGAACCACCTGTAGTTCAGTACTATAGTGGCAAGGTGAAATGCTGGCTTTTTCTTTTTTGTTGTTCTTGTTTTAAACTGGGAGAAATTGTCAAGAATTCTACCAGTTTTCCCCTCTAGCCCAGATGACCAGAACAACTGTAAAGCTGTTGTCCTCAGAAGACATGTCCACAGAAGGGAAAGCAGTTGGCACTTGCTTTCCTGGTGTAGACTGGAAAAGAAGCAGAAGAATTCACCCATCGGGAGCCATGTCTGCCATGGCTGGACAGAACGCCCAGCCAATCACTGTGGTGAAAGTGGAGGAAGGGCATGAAATCCAGGAAACGATTTTTTAAGCCGGCTTCATCTGCAGCTGGTTTATGCCTAAGAGATGAGCAGCCAAAGGCTGCAATGAGGAAAAGCCCTTAGTGCTCAATCACACATGGCTGTGAGAGAAGACAGCAGAAACAGACTCACACACACAGACACAAAGATGCACCACAAAAATTAAATTTCTTTTAAAAATTAACAAAAATGTTTCAAAATGGTTAAAAATTAAATTCATTACATCAAAGAAAATACACCTGCCTGCTATGCCCACTGCTGGTAAAAAGATTGGAAAGAACTCCAGAAGCCGTGTTCTCTGTTTTCCCTGCCTTGCTATTCTTTCCAACCCAAAGCAATGTTGGAAAGAAATTATCTTGTTGAAAGACAGATGGACTCTTCTGGGTTAACACAGGATAACTCTCCCAAAACAGGACACCAAATAAGGTGTGGGGGAAGAAACTAGCCAAAGAAAAGCTGAGTTTGAACGAGGGGTGGGTCAGGCCGGGAGCTGTGGCGAAAAACCTTCCCGGAAAAGACCCTTCGGCTGCTCAGAGCGCTGCCCGCCCCTCCATTCTAACCCCCTCCCTTCTCCTGGTCATGTGACCCAGAGAGGGTGGAGCTATTATTAAAGGGTTGGGAATAATTTTAGGAGCTGTGATCTGCAAGCTTTCCCTACTAAGGAATCAGTTGACTTAATAATGCACTGAGTACATTACAGTACAGATTCAGAGATGGGTCTCTGTTTAGCTAATAATTTGTCTGCTTAATGTTGAACCCAAATCCCATGCTAATTTATTTCACAGTTAGCATGGCTTTGCATGACACACAGAAATAGGTAATATTCACACAGATACAATGCACTTCACATCCTCTCGCTTCCCAGATACCTGTTTGTACACACACACAGGACACTGGTCCTTTTTGTCCTCAGACTGATTTGGCTGCAACCCTTTTTGGTCCCATGGCAGCCATTTGTTTTCTAGGAAAAGACCCCAACCATGAAACCACTTTGGCACTGACCATGAATGTTGTTGGCATTAATGAAATAAATCATTTGGCTTTTTAACTAGGATTTGGAGATGCTGTTGTCCAGGTGAATTGCAAACAAAACTCGTTACGACTTCATCAGGTAGGTGTTGCTAGTGCTAATTGTATTTGCATCAGCAGTTGTGGTGCTGCTTGGCCAACAGATTAGCACCAGCTTTTCTACTGGCAGGTAGCAGCCCCTAGCTTTGGCAGATCTAGAAGAAGCAAAGGAGGATTAGCTCTGGTTACTACTTGAATAGGAAACTACCAGGAAACCCCAGGACTGGACTGTAGACTAGAGTGGGAAACTGAAAAACCTTATCAAAAGATGGCAATGGCTACATGCTCCTTTACTGTTGCCAGCAAGGGTCCTGGGGAGGATGTCAAAAGTCAAGATGGCAGCTGTGACTGCATAAATGCAGCACACATAAAAAGGGTGCTGGGCTTTGATCATGTGATTACATCTTTACTTTTTTAATGCCCTATAGGTGCTCCAGCAAATCAACATATCTGGGTCATCACTAGCAGTCAAGAGTGACTCAAGGGAAACTAAACCTTAAACATAGGATACATTTCCTATGTCTGTCCTCACAGAATATAAGGGTTCCAAAGGAATGACGGAGATCATCTAGTCCAGCCTCTAACTGATGCAGGAAACCTCTAATGCAGCATCCTTGACACATGGCCGTCCAGCCTCTGTTTCAACACTTCTTGAAACAGCTGTTCCACTGATGAACTGCCCTCAACCCACATCTTTCTTCTGGTATTGTAGAGCCATGCTTCTTGTCTTGTCTTCTGGAACAACTCTGCCCTGTCTTCTGCATGACAGCTCTTCAGGAAGCTGAAGGCAGCTATCATATTCCACTGCCTATTATACCTCTTCTCTCCTCCTGGCTAAACATACCCAGTGCCTCCAATTGCTCTGTGTGCGTGTGTGTGTGTGTGTGTGTGTGTGTGTGTCTTCTCCCTCAAGCCTCTTGTCATCTTGGTTTCTTTCCTTTGGATGTGGTCCAGTGTGTCAAAAGCCTTTTTAGCAGGCTGACTAATGCAGAACAGAAGTAAACAATGATTTCTCTTGACCTGTTCACAGTTGAAACTAGTACCACAACTCAGATTTCCCACCAACCTTCTCTCATAACCTGGGCAAGAAGAGCTCCTCCCAGATTCCCTGCTGTCTCCCATGGCCTCTGGCCTGGCTTGAGGATGGCTCTTTAGTCAGGGATTCAGCCCGGCTCCTATGGCAGAGAATGGGGAAAATCTCTTCCTAGCCACTCACACTATGCTCCAAAATAAGGTCTGCCATAGCTGAAAGTTGGCAAAAATCTATCCCATAAGAACTTGCAGTACATTTGTGTGTCTTTCTGCTACTTTTAATAATTGAACCCATTGCGCATCTTGCAACTGTCCTTGCTGAAAACTGGATTTCTTTCTTTTTTCCAATGGTAGCAGCTGGGGAGCAAGAGAGATAAGATAGACATACCTATGGCCACTAGGTGGTATAACTGTGTTTCTCTGTCATAACAG